GTATTCACCAATCTGACTACCAGGGTAGGACAGTTCAGGTACCCTCACTGCTGTTGCTGGAGTCTAATCTGGGGTCATCCTTGTGGATACCTGGGAATTTCCCTAGCACTAGGTTTCTCCCTAACCCCATAATGTCTCCTTCTATCAAGAGATCTCGTTCATTGTTCTCCCACTCTGTTCCTGCCCCAGCTCGACCATCCCGTTCCCTTGTGTTCTCATCCCCTCCCCTTTATTGTCCCCCCACCCCCAGTTTACTCATGGAGATCACCTCTGTGGACTGAAGCACTCTTGACCAGCTACATGTCTCAGCCACTCATCTCATTTAGCCTCTGCTTAGGTAGAAACCTCTTCCCGAAGTTCTTGATCACTGGTCAAGGCTGCACTGTCTCTGTTACTTGCTTTGCTTCGCTTCAGAGCACTTGTCAGTATTTGACGTGACATTAAAGATGAAGTGGCTTATTTGTCTGTGGCTCCTCTTTCCAATTAGAATGGTTTGTAATATGACACCCCTCCCCCACCTGCCTCCAGCCCTAAATCCTTAATGCTTGGTACAGTACTCAACACATAGCCCTAGCCAAACATTGGTTAAATAATGCGACTCCATTTTCTAGCCTTTTGACTCAAACCCAGCAATATCCAAAGAGTATTTGAGACTCAATTCTGCAAGTGGCACTTAGCTTAGAGCTTTGAAAATTCATAGAACAGTCAAACCTGCAGTTGTATTTTTGGGTAAATACTAGTTGGGAGGAGCAAGAACATCCAGAGTTCTAGGAACGTTCTTTCCTGGGTGGTGGTTATACAAGTGTACAGCTGAGACTACAGTTAAGATCTGCATAGTTTATTTTTAATTTTTGACAAGTTCACACACGCATACAATGTATTTTAGTCACATCCACGCCCACTCCTCTCCCTAACTCCTCCCATACTAATCTCCTCCCACCTCTGCCTCTTTTAGGTTTTTTTAAAAATAGCCCACAGATCCCCATTCGCGTGCTACCCACTGGGGTGTGTGTGGTTGACCCACCAGAGCCCACAACATTAAACTGACTCTCCCTCCTCCCCCAGAAGGTAGCACCCATCAGTGGCTCCTCAGTTGGGTTGGGGCTTGCAAGCCTATCCTGGAGTGTTGGCTAGCTTCATCTTGTGCAGGCAACCATAGCTCAGGAGTGCCTGGTCCCGCGATGGCCAGAAGGCACTGTCTCAGTCCGGGCCCCCTCCTACCTCTCTCTGGCTCTTACACTCAGAATTTTGAGTCCCACTTCTATATTTGTGTTTTTAAGTTTGCTTGTTTTACATTTCTGACTTGTCACGCACCTCTCTAGTGTAGCGAGCAAAATAACATCATACACACATAATAAATAATAAATGGAGGTGTGCCCAAGCCTCAGCGAGGCTGGTATAGCCCCTTAACGGAAGAAGGTCGGAAGCACCCTGCCTTCCCGACGTGGGGAACTTTCCAGAGACCACCGGCCTCCTCCCACGTCCCGAGGTGGTTTTCTCACTGGGGTGCTGACCCCTGGCTCCCGCGTTCTCCCCGGAACCGGAGGCGGGACGGTGGGGACGACTGGGCCGAGGTGAGGCGCAAACGCGTCGGCACTTAGTTCTGCGGCCCGAGCAAGAGCCAGGAACCCACGGCGGTCCTCAGAGTTGAGCCCGAGAAGATGGACGCGTCGTCCACGAGCGTCGGGAGAGAGAAATTGCTGCAGTACAGGCCGTCCCGCGGGACGTCACAAACCCTGGGCAGACTCCGGGCGCGGCGGGAGTGCGCAGGCGCCACGGAGATCCACCCGCGCAGGCGCACGGCGGCCGAGGCGGGGCCCCCGAGCACGCGCTCCGAGAGAGCGGGCGGGCGGGCGGGCGCGCGCGCCATGGAACAGAGGTTAGCAGAGTTCCGGGAGGCCCGCAAACGGGCCGCGCTGGTGGCCCAGCCCTCCACGACGAGCCAGGGCGAGCAGACCTCAGCAGCGAAGGCGGAGCCAGCGGCGGCGACCCCAAAGGCAGCCCCGGGCTGGCTGCGACGCTTCCTGACGGGGAAAGCAAGCCCTGCCATTACGCGGGCCCGGCCCAGCCAGGTTCAGGTGAGGAGAGAGGCCGGCACCTTGAAGCTCCGCCTCCGCGCCGGGCCACGCCCCACCCCGCACAAGCCACGCCCACGGCTTCTGCCGCTCAAAGCCCTACCTTCTACTGTGAGCTCTGTCTTCCGCCTGCCCAGTGGCTGAACACCGCATTTCCTCAATGTGTGTCAGCACGTGACACATGGCCTTGCTGTTTTTCTTCCCAGACACGGTCCTGTGCAGCAACTAATTGCAAAGAGAACGCGAAGGTTTGGGACCTCGAAGAAAGAAGCCTCTCCACTCTTGAGTTAGTTGTTCACAGCGAGTTGATAGTAGAGATGCCACGTGGCTCCGAGAAACAGCTGCAGTCCTCTGCTAGTGGAGGGTAAAAGGGCTAATTGGTCATTGATCAAAAGTGGCAGTGATTAAGGCCTCGCTCTATTCACACCTTAGGTGGAGGTAGCCAGTGTCTCAGGTAGCTTGTGTTTTAGAAATGGAATTCGGAGGGAGGAAAAGGAAGTTTGAGGCTATGACCATACCACTCTGAATGCAACTGATTTCTGAAGCTAAGCAGGGTCGGTCAGGCCTGGGGAAAATGGGGTTTGACTACAAAACTTTCCCAAGTGTGGTCACTGTAACTGCCTGCGGTGGTGTACATGGGTTTGCACGCTGCTCTTGGACTAGAGAAGGGTATTCAAGTGTAATTGTGAGTGATTATTGCGAGTGTAATAGCCCACTTGAATCTCTTTGTGCCATCTTGGAGTTCTCAGGAGTGTCCTGGCAGGGAGGCTTGCCTGTGAGATGGGAAAGTTGGGGTGCAAATATGAAACGCTCCAAGGGGGAAATCTGTGTCCTGGCTTGGCTTCTGTTACTGTGATAAACGCCATAACCAAAAGCCACCTGGGGAGGAAAGGGCTTATTTTAGTTTACAGGATGTAGACTTGCCTGCAGGCAATCCCATTTCTCAATTGAGATTCCTTCTTCCCAGAAGACTCTAGTTTGGGTCAAGTTGACAAGAAACTAACCAACACACTATCCTTTTCAGCAGTCACAAGGCTTTAGCTTCTGGTCAGCATAAAAAGATCCAGATACATACATACGGCTGGGTCTGGCAGCTGCAAGAAGTCAGCCGAGGAAATGGAAGAGTAGACCCAGTTGGCCTCTGAACAGTGAGAGCAGACTTTTAGTGGTCTAAGAAGTTGGCACACCTGAACTCTGCAGCTCAGTGTCTGAGGGCACAGGGGAACCTGCCATGGAGTGCCAAGGAAGGGGCTGGGGAGAGCCTGGCTTTGCCAGTTTCTGGATAAACTGCTTTTTTAGTTTTTGAAATCAGCTTGCTTGTACAACCTCTGGGCTCAGGGTGAGACCTCTGGGTCCCAGTGCATGTTATGGGGTGGGCAGCTTTCCCGAATTCCATGAGTGGCAGGTGTTTTGAAGTCTTGGCCTGTTTTATGGCCCTGGTTTGGGATTGGGGGATTTCCTTTAATAGTGAAGGCCTGTAATCTTAGCTACTCAGGAGACTGAGGCAGGTTCAAGGCCTGACTTTGACCCTGTCTCAGAATTTTTTTAAAAAGTTTAAGAGCTGGAGTTGTAGCTCAGTGGTAGAATACTTCTTTTACATGCATGATGTACTAGGTTCGACCTCCAGCACTGCTAAAAAGGATGAATAAATAAATGAACACAGGAATATAAATCAGGAGTAGAGCCCTTGACTAACATGTTTAAGGCCCTAGGTTCTGTCTTCAGGACCACCCCCCAAAAAACGAAATGGTAGAGTAGCAGTACATGCCTGTAATCATAGCACTCAGGAGTCTATGTTCAGATTGACTCTATCAACATGGATCACATTTTGGGAAATCTGATGCCAGGTGGTTTATTGTAGGCATATTTAAACACAATAAAATTTAGAGATAGGTTTCCAGGCAATCATTCCAATTCCAGGTACACAGTAAAGTTTAAGGTGTGACTACATAAAAACTCCTTTACAAAGTACATGTGACCATGAAGATGGATGGATTCTCTAGCTTAAGAGCTTAGGATCTGGAGTGGTCTCTAATTGAGATAACATTTAATTGAGATAACATCTAATTGAGGTCAGCAGGCTATAAAGTACTGTGACACCTCCCCTAAGGATGGGTTCTTTTAACTGGAAGCTAAAGATAAAGGTCTAGGGAGGGAGAATCTGAGATAATCGTTCTGGGGATTTTAGATGAGGTCTGTCTCCACAAGTAGCAGAAGGTCACCGGGTAGTTAACAGTACTCCCAGCTTTCTGGATGGGATGCCTGTATTTATTTCCTCCAGTGAGGAGACGCCCCTGCATGTTTAGTATTCCTGGCTTCTCTAGTGCCCCCACCAACTGCACTGTATCTAGTTTAAGGAAATTCCTTTAATAGCATAGGGCTGCTCAGTTTTGACTCCATATTCTCTGTACAGTATTCAGGTTTCCCACTCAACCATCCATCTCCTCTGGTGCAGTTTGTACAGCTCAGGTGTCTATGGATAACTGTTGATTAGGCCTCAGTAAACAGGCTTGAGAATGCATCTCTCCTCCTCTTTTCCACTGCTCTCCCCGCTCCAGTTTAAAGGCAACGTCTGACCCACACAGACACTCTTGACTGGGTGTCTCATTTCTGAAGGAATATGGAGTTGAGCCTAGAGAAGCTCAACTCGAGAAAGCCTCCTTCTTCAAACACAGAAATTGAAGAGAGCAAACGCTGGGATGGACTGGCACTGACCTCTGCCTTTCTTAAGGGACTCGGCTTCAGGTTCATTTTCACTGACTGTTACCCTACCTGGGTTTGCCCTGGTACAAAGTTCTCATTACAATTTTATAAGTCACAACCCATCGCTACCTAGTAATTGTGTTGTTCGCTGGGCCACTGGAGATTTCTTTAGCCTTCTGTTTTGTAATAGCTTCCTTTCAGTATTCTTTGGTAAATACCCATGCCCTTCATCTCCCTCTGCCCAAGTTTTCTTGGAGGAAAGTAGTCCCCCAGATGATAAGGTCCTGTCATGTTGTGGTTAAAAGGCGTGTAACTGTTTAATCCCTTGGAAACTTGCTCCCTCCTCTGGCCCTGTCCTAGAAAGTCCCTAGTTCAGCAATTCAGCCCTGGGGGTTCATTCCCCATCCTGGTCTGCAACTCCTGACCTCCAGTCCTGGTTCAGAGGGCCCACTGCTCAGATGTTCTTTCTGGAGCTAAGAGCTAGCTCGTGCAAGCATGAGGACCGTGCAGCCCCACACCCACATAATAAAGCTCAGCTTGGCGCATTGTAGTCTTAGCACTGAGAAGGCAGAGACCGGAGAGTCCCGGAGTTCTCTGGCCGGCCGGTCGATCCTGATTGGTGACATCCAGGTTCAGTGAGAGACCCTGTGTGAAAAATAGACGTGGAAAGCCACTGAATTGACACCTGATGTCATCCTCTGCTGTGCCCCGCCCCCAGTCTCACTTTTGGTTTGTCTCTCTGCCTTTGTCTCCCTCTGCAAAGGGCCCTCAGGTAGGAAGCAGCTTGCTCCTGGGGGCATGGAGATGTGTCGCCTGAGCCATGCCTGTGAGCACCGTCCAACCACAAATGCTGTGCACATTGCGGTTGTCGACAGGCAAACTGAATGAGCACTAGACACAGTTCTCCTCAGTCACAGGACTTTCCACATGTGCCCCTGGCTTTGCCCCTTTGACAGTTTGTTCCATTAACTCTTTCTGTCTCACACCTTTTGCCTACCACCCCCTCTGGAGCACCCAATTAAATAAAAAGGTTTTCAAGATGCAAGTCATGACCCATTCATGGATAGTAAAATCAGCATAGGCTCTCGTTCCCTTTAAGAGTTGTTGAAGAATAATTTGGAATGTAAGAATGTTTTTCCAGGCAGATAGTGCTGATGTTGGTTACCATTGCACCCGTGGACTGGGCTGCAATATAAAACCCATTTCTTGCTATGTATCAAAAAGAGACTCTTAAAACCTTAGAAAATAGTGGAGGCAAAGCCCCTAAAGCCACCTACCCAGGGGCTTCCCTTAGCATCTGGCACTGGGTCTTCCCCCTAAGAACTTTGAAGTTTAACTGCAGGCAATAGGATTTTCCTGCAGATGTGTGGGCTGCAGGATGATGGTGATCTCGAGAACTCATCAAGCAGTTGTACACAGGCTGGCTTGGGGACTGGAGAGAGAGAGGAGGCAAGGAGTCTAGTTAGAAGATGCTTCCCAGGCCTGGGAATGAGCAATGAGGACCTGGATAAGGATAGTGTGGTGCAGGATGGTAATGGCCATAATGGCCATCATGGTTTGTTTAAACACGTGAAAGGGATTTTTGTTTTCTGTTTTGGGTGTGGTCTCCATTTTAGAACCGAGTCACCCTGGATATTTGAGCTCATCTAATCAAATCTGCAAAAGTGTGTTGACTGTCACTGGGAGATAACTCCTGCAGCTGCTGCATTATCAATTTCTGGTCAGGTTCTGTTGGGGCACAAAGTAGGTTTTGTTAGCAGCTAGCTAATCTGAAGAGGTGGTTCCCATGAATGGGTCCCATCCCAGTGCTCTCAGGTTTCTGTGGGCTCACATCTTGCTGGGTGCCCATCAGTGTTGGTTTGTTTGGACCCGGGTGCCTAAGCTCTCTGGCAATGATTGCTTTAGAGAGGAAGGCAACAGATAGAAATCAGTAAGCCAGCAGCCTTCCTAGAGCAGTAAGTTCTGCCTTTCCCGATTAGTTGGATCCTCTCAGCTCCATTACCCTCCCATTCTTACTTCTGTTTGCTTGTGTGTCCTAGGAAGCAGCCCAGCAGCCCCCACAGAGCCCAGCGGTCCCTCTGCCTTCGTCCCGACACCAGTCTCTCCTGACCAACATCACCTTCTTGAAGGTTCTCCTCTGGCTGGTCCTGCTGGGTCTGTTTGTGGAACTGGAATTTGGCCTGGCTTACTTTGTCCTGTCTATGTTCTATTGGATGTACGTAGGGACTCGGGGTCCCGGAGAGAGGAAAGAAGGGGAGAAGAGCGCCTACTCTGTGTTCAACCCCGGCTGTGAAGCCATCCAGGGCACCCTGACTGCAGAGCAGCTGGAGCGCGAGTTACAACTCAGGCCCCCACGGGGGAGGTAGACCCACCTCAGCTGGTCCTCCTAGCCTCGAGCATGGACTCCAGAGGACAGAGGACAGCTTACAGGGTGGCCTTGTGACTGCCACACCCTCCACTTCCTCCTCATCTGCTGCAGTTTCCTTTTTGGACTCCTCTTTGATTTTGGTGACATTTTCTAAAAGACACTCACTGTGGGGCTGGTGCAGTTTATAAAGCCATGGAAGAAGGAGGCTGCTTTGTCTCATTATTGGAGGGTGGTGATAGTGGCATGTTACAGATGCACTGTGCGGTCCTCTGGTTTGCCCAGTGATTAGATGGATGAGTAGGCACACCGGGGCTCTGTATAACACCCACATGCTCTTTTAAGATATTTAAATATTTACTCAGCCATATTCCAGGCCAGCCAGGGGGACTGGTCTCAGTCTTCTTCTTTTCAAATGTGTGAGTGTTTTGCTTGAATGTGCCTGGTACCCTCAGAGGTCAAAAGGGGGCATCAGAGCCTCTGGAACTTGAATTATAGATGGTTGTGAGCCACTATATAGGTACTGGGAACTGAACCCAGGTTCTCTGCAAAAACAACAAGTGCTCTTAACCACTGAGCCCTCTCTCCAGCCCTTCAAGAAAATTTACAGAATTATTTTTCCAAAAGCTTTAAGTTGCAAGTTTTCAGAAGTTTGTTTGTGTCTTGTATCCTCTCTTTTCAGCCATCAGTGCCATTGAAATGTGAAATATCTTGAGGATACTTTCCATAAGCAGGTCCCAACACTGCCCATCACATCTTTCATCATGTCGCTGCTCTCTCCCTACTTGGGAAAGAAGAGACAGAGTCTCAGCAGGACAAAGTCAATATTAGAGATAAGAAAAGACTTACTTGTTTGTCTGCATGTGTGTGCACCACATGTGTGCCTGGTACCTATGGAGGCCAAGAAGAGGGTGTCCAATCCCCTAGAATTGGAGTTACAGATGGTTGTGAGCTGCCTTGTGGGTTCTGGGAACTGGGTCATCTGCAAGAGCAGCCAGTGATCTTAACTGCTGAGCCATCTTTCCAGCCCCAGTGGTGGGGATTTGATAAGAGGCTATTAATGCTAAGTCCATCAAGAGACATTCTTGAGTGTGTGCAGAGGGGAAGGGCTAGGTAATAGGACTCTCTGGAATGACTTGCTTGGGTCATGTTTCATTTTCTTTTAGGTATTTTTGGAAGGGTCTCCTGTGGCCCAGGCTGGCCTTGAACTCACACTTTTGTGGTTCTGGTTTATATACTGGAGCCTTGTACACCTTTAGTGAACATTCTGCCTCTCATGTGCTGATGTAGAGTAAGGAGTCTCTGCCTGTGGCTCTGGTCGGCAGCTGTGGAGACAGCAGCCTCCGCGCCTGGTGTGGGTGCTATTTCCTCTTCCGGCACAGTGGTGGAGTTTAGGTTCATTGAACTTGGGCCACACACACCTTTTCTGTGAGTCACACTGTTGAATAAAAAGACTCCAATTTTGTTCAAACTTAAGGTTTTAAGAAATTACTGATTCCTTCAGTGTTGCAGAATATTCCATCACACTGTGTAAAGATATGTCACTGAGATTGGTTTAATAAAAAGCTAAGGGGGTGGGGGGCTACAGTCAATAGCTGGGCAGGAGGTATAGGTGGGACTTCTGGACAGAGAGCACTCTGGGAAGAAGAAAGGTGGAGTCACTAGCCAGATGGAGAGGAAACAGGGTGGACATAATGGAGATGAGGTAACAAACGTGTGGAAGGACATAGATTAAAAAATACGGGTTAATTTAGGTTATAAGAGCTAGTTAGAGATGCTCAGGTCAAAATGGCGGGCCGACCTGCTGTTACAGTGTCAAGCAAGTGGCTGGCTGGTTTTCAAAAATGGTATTATAATGCTGCAGGATTCAACAAACTGGGGTTAATGCAAGATGATACAATATACGAGATTGAAGATGTGAAAGAAACCATAAGAAGGCTTCCTGAGAATATTTATAATGACAGAATGTTTCGAATTAAGAGAGCTCTGGACCTGACTATGAGGCATCAGATCTTGCCTAAGGAGCAGTGGACAAAATATGAGGAGGTAGAACAGGACAAATTCTACCTTGAACCCTATCTGAAAGAGGTTATTCGGGAAAGAAAAGAGAAGAATGGACGAAGAAGTGATCTTGTAGTTGAGATCTGTGGATGTGCCTGGTCTTAGCATGTTTTTATGAAGTTTCAACTTGAATCACAATTTAAGAATTATTTGCTCTGCAGAGGCCTCTCTTTAAATAAATGTCTATTGTAACCATAAAAAAAAGAGCTAGTTAGAAACAAGCCTAAGCTAAGGCTGAGCTTTCATAATTAATAAGAAGTCTCCATGTCATTTTTTTTGTGTGAGCTCACAAAAGTCCATCTACACTTCAGCAATTTTTCACTAAGCTACAAGTAAGCATAATGCAAGCTATAACTCTTACACTATGAAGGTAACTTTGTGTCTGTGTGTGTGCACGTGTGTTTGCTGGTGCCCACAGAGGCCAAAGGAGGACATTGGGTCCCTCAGTTTTAGAACTACAGGCTGTTGTGAGCCTCCCAGTGAGGATGCCAAGGAGAAACCTTGGGTCTTCTGGAAGAGCAGCGGGCTCTCCTAATTGCTGAGCCTTCCATCTCCCCAGCTCCCGAAGGTAACTTTAATACCTGAAATAGTAATTAAATCGTGGAGGTCTAGTGTTAATTCTTTTGTTCCTCCTTATATGTTCTATCTATGAGACACATTCTTAGTTTTATCTAAGTTTATCTCTTGTTCATTGAGTCCTGGCACCCTCCTAGGCTCCTGGCTATGATAGGAAACACGCAGACCTTGCCAGTCACAACCCCATTGCACACTCTTGCTCACCTCTAGGGAAAGTGGGGGGTGAGCCAGTCACACGCTTGGCAGGGAGTCTCAATTTTCTGAATTTAGACCTGTGGGTCTCAGAACTTCCACTTGAGGCTTTACCAATAGTCCCAAATGAGACTGCCGTTAAAGGCAGCTCTGTCACCAGAGAGAGGACGTCGCTGCCGGAGTTGCATGTGGGAATGGTTGTCTCTGTCACCTTCAGTGTCTTACAGGCATATTGGTTTTGCTCTTTCTCACAGTATCTGGCCTGGTCTGTCCACAGGCAGGGCCACATTTATTCCCAAGTAAAGATGATGGGTCACTAATGACCCCAAGGAGGAGTCCAGTTACAAGGCCCAGGTGCTTCTTCAGGAATTTGTGTCCTGGGAGAACTCCAGCTGCTCTTCCTGCCACCAAGGTTCATTCCTCCTTACTCCAATCTCAGGGCCCCCGGGAGCCCCCGGACTCTGTCCTGCAAGCTGGTGGGCCACGAGTTCTCTCTTCTCCCTCTCTCGGGCTCAGTCAAAGGAATGATGTCCCCGGAACAGTCTCCTTCATTCACCATGGGCCCCCTCTGGGGGCTTCAGGTTGGGGATTTTTTACCAAGAATGATTTCATGCCACTGGGACTGTGCATCGAGCACGGGAGGCTGTCACTATTGTCTTCTGGTTGCTTTGCGCCATCCGATTAGGCACCTGGGTCTGCTACAGAGAGGAAGTTACACAGTTGGGCAAACTCGCCATCCTCATTTGGGCAGAAGCAAGGAAAATGGGAACAATGCAATAGGTTCTTGACACTCCAGCAAATATTTGGAGGTTCTCTGGTCATGACACACAAAGAGCATATTGGGATGGAGAAGAGCCACAGAATGGATAAAGGGGTAGGGCAGAAGCCCGAGGATCATGGTGCCACCAGGGGGCAGTGCAGAGTTGCTGCAGCCTGACCTACATACTTGATCGTTTATGTTAAGAGGAAAACCCTCTGGGATGCTTCTTAGAACCAGTGTGCTGGGTTTTTTGTTTGTTTGTTTGTTTGTTTGTTTGTTTGTTTGTTTGTTTTTTCTTCAGACATTTTTTCCCACTTCAAGATTTGAGTAAAGACCTCTTCATAGGTTCTGGAAAGGCTCTAAAAGCTCCCAGCAGTGATTTACTATATACATATTTTAAGATAAGACAGCAGCCCCTCCCCAAGGTTAGCAGGCAGCCTTGTAGTTCCCTGTCCACTTCTGAGCTCAAGGGGACTGGGGCACAGCTCTTAGGAACCTACAGAGCTAACAGAAACATTGGTCACCAAACTAAAGAAGGTGAGATTTGAACTCAACACTTTGGTTTCTGTTACACTTTTATTTTGAAACACTGAGCATTTGGACCAAAGATTTAGACCTTGTTCTCAAAAAGCTTAGTGCACAGAGAACCATGTCAGAGGGGACGGGTATGCTGGGAGAGGTGTCTCAGACACAGAAATCTCTGTCTCTGTTTCTCTGTCTCTGTCTCTGTCTCTGTCTCTGTCTCTGTCTCT